ATCAGTGAATCTGAAGGTACAACGGACAAATAGACGTATTAGCGTACCAGTCGAGTTCATTAGCGTTGCTGCACAAAATCTTATAATTTGTGTGACAGTTCGGGTACTACCCAGATCAAAGCAGGTGGCTGTCTCTAGGAGCAACGCCCCCCCCCTGAGTCTTTGACTGAAGTCCGATCAACAGTGCCCCGGAGCAGCGACACGAGCTGTGTCCCCATTGTTGTAGGTGACCAAAACAGGTCAATGCACCATTCAATCGGTTCGGAATCTGCAACGCATGTACATTATACGTTTGGTGTCAGGGTTTTCCAGCCTCTCAAGTAAACCAGCATCTCCACTGGTCCAGTTGTAAGTGCCAGACATTCGCATTAGCCATTTCACTTTTGTGAAGGCGGTGAACAGGATTAACCTGTAAGGGGCTATTGACGCGTGGCCACATTACGGCACTTCGACAGGAAGATCCTAATCTGCCCAATATACACCGGTTAAGGTCGTCTTTATCGACCTTACAAAATCATTTGATAAAATATTTTGTTCAGGCGTACTCAGTAAGCTAAATATTGTTCGCATAGATAGCACCCTATACGACTGGCCTAAAGAGTACCTACTAGGTAGAAGGCAAACGGTGAGAGTAAACAAATTGTTCTCTCAGTGTCAACATCTCTCGAGAGATCCCATACGGTACCACACTGAGTCTTTTGCTAGTACACATCAAATTACCTGAAATTCTTGACTCATTTTCATTACTGTGTGAAAAATAGGGATGTGGCACAAATCGAAAGGAGGGGTCAGCTGGTATCATTTTCAAGTAACATTCAGGTTTGGGAGACAATTAACAATAATGCTCATAAGTTAGATCTACGAAAAAGTTTAAATAAACTAACAATGCTCTAGTCGCTCAATGGTGGAAATAAATTCCATGAAAAAAGTAGTAATGCATATGTGCTAAGGATCTTGATATACATTTGAGGGAAATAGAACTTCTTGACTCTAAAGGACAAAATTTTTCTGCAATTGGACAGGTGAAACTAAAAACCTGCCAAGCATTGAAATTCAAGTTCAGGCAAGGGGTTCCAACCGCACTGACAGATTCAAAAAGCTATTAAATACGTTGATGTGGTTGTTTAAGGTGTTCTATCCAACCTTTTGAACCTCGTTCTGAACAGTGCATAAACACTGCTACTCCATTCATCAAAAGAACAAATCTAACAAAGAGTACAAAGGGTACATAATAGGCTAGTTACAGGAATCCTGCACCTTCCTTAGGAAAAGAAAAAAGGAAGTCTAAACCTCTTCGCACTATCATACCTTGGGAGATGCGACTTCATTTTCATCCACAATATAATAATAGAAAGTATTCACTTCTCCTAATTATCATCATCATCTATTATCATCTATGTCTGAGGTTACTTTAATAGGGTGACAAACTGACGTCAAATAGGATATGGGTGGAATCCAGATGCTATCAAGCAGGTAATGACTGGAATTCTTCACTAGTTCAAAAGATGCTGGCTCCTTCGGTGAACAAATTTTAGGGGAACTCGAATCTCGATTTAGATACTAAAAATAGAAGGCTATTGTTGCCTATGACAACCTGTGCGATATATACCTCTGAAAAGGTTTAATTTGTCTACGAAAGCGTTCACTGGAGTTGTTACTACTGAATCAGGTAAGGAGTTCCAGTCGTTGACCACCCTGTGATAAAATCTAGATTCCACTCGTATTTTATTTGACCTCGGTTTGGGCACCTCCTGGTGACCTCGTAAATGTATCCTAGAGGGAGAGAAAAGATTAGAAATGTCAATCCCAAAGTCAACTTTCAATATACGGTATACCAAAATTAAGTCACATCTCCATCTTCGGTATGATAATGGGAAGAGATTTAAATGCTCCATCCCCTTGTCATAAGAAAGGTGTCACATGCCACTGACTAATTTGGTTCCACCAGCTGTACTCTCTCCAGGATATGTGCTTACTTCTTGAAGCACGGACTCAAGGCTTGTATGCAGTATTCTAGATGATACCTGAAGTATGTTGCTGAGAGTACTTTGAACATAGACTCATCTAAGCGTTTGAAAGACCTTCGAAGTGCCTATAGGTTTTGAAGAGAGCCTTAGCTGCAGCCAAACTACTATATACACGTGTCTTGAAAACATGGGACAATAGTCACTCAGTCCTTTTGTCTCTTAACATCGGGCAGTTGTGTCCTCCATGGACTACGGCGTGTAAGACCTTCGACCTAGGTGCATTACCGCACTTTCCTTGGAATTAATTTCCACACTCCAGAGGTCAGCCCATTCAGCTAGTTTATCTACATCGTTTGTATTACCAACTTATCACTACTATTTACAGTTTTCCATATCTCACTATCATCCGCAAATAATAAAGAAGATGAAGTAAGAATTTTCGGCAGTTTATTTACGTGTAATAGGAATAGCAGAGGGCCAAGTACAGTTCCCTGAGGTACTCTGCTCAGTACTGCTTTCCACCCTGACAGTACACCATTAACCGTTTTCCTCTGCCTTCTAACCATCAGGTAGTTCTTAAACCACTCACACAGACGTTGGACTAATCCGAAACCTTTTAGTTTACCAAGGAGATCTAAATAGGACACTACCGAATGCTTCACTAATATCCATAAGGACAATGTCTAGTAGATGGTTCTTATCCCTGGTCTCGACCCAATTTTCCCTAGCTAACTGTAAGTTTGTCAGACAGGATCGCGCTGGTCGGAGTTCATGCTGTTCCACCACCAGTAAGTCATGTTCCTCCATATGAGCTAAGAACTGATTCCTAATGATTGTTTCTGATACCTTTGCTATAACTTGGTTCAGACTTACAGACCGGTAGTTCCCTGTTCACCACTTTGAAGATGGGGCTTATAATTGCATTCCTCCAGTCTCCGGGTAGCCTAAACTGGGTCAGAGACATTCGAAAAATCTCCGTAAGTGGAAAATGGATACATATCCGCCGATATTGGCAGTCTAGGGTAAAGTCCTGCAGGTCCAAATGATTCACCTAGCTTCAGTTTAGACAGTAGTTTGAGAACTACTGCATCCTCTACCGCGATTGAGTGTGTTATAGTGGCGGTGGGAGTGACTCCGCTATACTCTGGGTGGTACGATTAGACGAAAAGATATCACAAGGGTATTCCGAGATCTTTCTAGCTTTTGTTTCGTCTGACTCGGTCGCCTCTCCAGTACCTCTTATGAGTGACGGTATAACACTGCTAGTTCTAGTCCTAGGTTTGATACATGAGTAGATTCTTTTGGGATAGTGTGCACAGTCCAATACCAGCTGTCTCTTATACTCTATACGACTTTTTTCAATCTCATACTTACAAAGGTTTCGAATTTTGCGGTATTCCATCCGAAACTCTTCACTCCCTGTCATAGTAAACCAGTCCCATAAGTTCTTTTACTGTCTAAATAACCTCCTCATATGATTACTAATCCAAGGTGGTTTATGCGATAGTTTTCGAAGCATAGACCAAGGTACAAAAGGTGCAGTGACGCAATCAAGTGTATTCCAAAATTCTACCCAAGCTTGCTTGACAGTCCGACTTGTATCAGATGACCAGTCAGCTAGGGTTATTGCGTTTCAAATTGCAGGTATATTCGCCTTCCAAGTATTTAGACGAGCAGCTGTTGACCTATGTATGACACCGTGAATTTTAAATGTAAAAGTGATAACTACATGGTTACTACTGCCTAGTGGCGGAAGACAACTAATGTCACCAACAACCTCTCCCTGGTGTTAGCACCGAGTCTAGAGTAGATGGATCATGTTCAGAGTGGTATGGTGTTGGTGCATGCATATTCTGCACAAGTGCAAACTCAAGCACTGTCAGTATGAGTTCCCAGTTGAAACAAGTATACAAGGTAGTTGACATTAATTCCTCCCAATTAATATGTGGAGCATTAAAGTCACCTACTATTAGACACCTGCTTCTGCTACTCCACCCTCTGAGGTGATTTAGTACGAAGTCGTCAGCTTGGCTGGCAGTGCCCTTGTTCAAGTTAATGACATGACTTGCGGCTTCACTAATCTCGCTAACATGAGCTTTGGACAACGTCGACCTAAATCCAATGCAATCTCGAATGTATAGAGCAGTCCCACCACCTTTTTGGCTAATTACTCTGTCTGTGCTAATGCAGATGTACCTGGGTATGAGTGATAGCAATCGTATCAGGTTGTAGTCCTTCAGATAATACTCCTAATTTAGGGATATTATTCGTAAGACTTCACGCGGTCGTAAAGCACACTGAAGGTTCTACGTTTTCACTCAACTTATGAACAGATACATAGAGGAGTACCTAAGTTGGAGAATAGCTATGCAAAAGTGGGATTGGACCAATGATGAGATGACGCAAATAAAACCATGGTCATAAAAAAATTTTAAGAGCTGTGTAAGCATACTAGGCAAGATAGCAAGTTTTAAAATATACGGATGCACAAGCTGCCTACCTCAAGCCTACAATAACGCGACCCAAGCTTACATCAATCCGAAACTTATTCTAACCTATTCTTCGATAATGCCTTTTTATGGTAAATGAAGATTTTACCTAGCCACTGTGTTCTGATATAACGCTGGTCGTGCTTAAAACGAGAGATGGGTGCTCAATTAAGTCTTTTTGTTCCGAAGTAACCCTAGTCCGCGTTTAATATGTCCTGTGAGGGCTAGAACAACGCTGCTTCTGATATACTCCTGGAAATGCTTAGAAAAAAGAACAGGGTGCTGAATTGTTGCCAGTCATTCTGAGAACCAGCACTGAGTTTTAGTCTGAGTCACTAAAGAATCCATTTTGGAACATATTCAGAATTTACTCACTATAGAATGTTAGAGTTATTTCAGAATTAGTGAGATTTAATTTAGCATTATAGTGAGCTTGTTGACTGAACATTAACATAGCTAGTAACTATGTTTCTGTACCAAACGTATTGGTTTCATATTGTAATAAATAACTGTTAACGACAACACTAAGGAGGAAGAAACGTACCGAAAATTTTAATTTGTAGAACTTTGCTTGACTGAATGGCAAGAGACAAATCAGATTCGTCCCCAATTGTAATGAAATCGCCATCTAAGAAGTGAATCTAGGTTTAAAAAAACTACCTTCATCTTTATATTTCACTAATAACTCATCTTCCTTAGTTATGTACTGTTTGAAGACACGTTGCATCATCAAAATCAGTTCGTCATACGTTATCTCTTCATTATGTATTGGGATGCGACGCAAATCATGCCCAAGTTGGGCCTTAATGATGAGTTTTCCAGAAAGATCCATTCTGAGAAGCTGTTGATGAAATGCTGATTCCAGTTACAATGATACGTCACTTGCCAGCACTTGACCTTAATTCTTTTGTTAAATGCGGCTGCACATCCGATGTCCAATGCTCCGCCGATCGAATCAACAGCAATTGTGAGTTCAGAAACTAAGATATTTTTATCTAATGTCACCTGATCTGTGATAAACCTTAAAATATTTTAGATGAAAACGGGTAAGAGAGATCAATATCTTGATAATTAATTAGGATGCAGGATTATTATCTTGCATTTGGTGAAGTCATTCATCAAGTTTGCATAGTTGTCTTGTCTCCTATTTGGTTGACCATTGCTGCTACTAATGAAAGAACATTTTCGTTTTTCATTATGTTCTTAATCATATTATGTCTTTCATACTTCAAGCAACTTTCGGAAATCAGACTTCCGCAAACTTTTTCAGCTTAACGCCATCCTAAACCTGGATCGAATAAAGAAGATTTCATGCTCTGATAACTCAAGAGTTCACCTCAAACTGATAGCCTCTGTATCCAGTTGTCTATCCAGGAATTTTTCGAATTCGCCTCTGCGATATAAGCCTACCTCAATTATTTGTTACAGGACTTCATCATGAGCTGACATAGGTCAGCGAACAACTGAAAAACCTGTGAGTACCAGAAATCTGTCGCGTCTCAGTGGCTTAAATGTCTATCAGCTGGCCTTGTAACCGGAAGATCCTGGGTTCCAACATCGTTGTTTGCGCACCACTGAAGAGTCCTAAGCCAGGATGAAAAAGCTGTCCATTTCTCCCAGGTTTTCCAGTGGTTCTCTAACTGGTGTCAGCTCATGACGAAATCCTGTAACAAAAAACCAAATCCCCACAAACCATCACTTGAATATTACCTTCCTGATGTTTTGCCCTTCTTTCATTAGCGGGAACAGTGGCGGTCAGTTGGATTTCCGATGCTTTGTAGGTAAGTACCATCGTGTATGATTTAGTGCGGTTTTGTTATGCATGGTATACACAGAGCGCCGATTAATATAAATGTAAATTTTAACCCTTCTAACAGTGTTTTACCGTCTTTTACAAGGCTTTCCTCGTCACACACTCTGTTGAGACTAGTTAGCCATTTTGTTAATTTTTAGCGGCTACGATCCTATTTCCTGTGTTGTGGTTATCCGTACAATATTTTCTCCATCCTTATATATATGAACCACATAGTCTAATAGTCTGTGCTTCTTGTGAATTAACTGTGACTCTAAGGGTTACCAATTAACGAAGCAATGTAATTTGTGCGATTAGAAGCAGCGCAGATGTAATTAAAAGTTAACAAATGTACTCTTGTAGTAAGAATCGATGACACAATCACTGGCAGATAATGAAATTATATTTAGTAATTTTCACATATTTTTATTTTTAATGTGTTCCACATCTCAAAAGAAGTATAGACTATGGTGACTAAATTTATTGAATCCTTAAGTCACGTTGACACGGTGAAAGCCGAAGGACTTGGTGAACAGATATTTATTTGGAAAACGGTATCTCTCTATTGCGATATTGTGTTTATCTTATCTTCAACGCACCATTTGCACATATCTTTGTGTTGTCGTACTTCTGGATTTCATGTTGTATTTTTTTGTTACTTTCACGTCTCCCAAGCTGTATCGTTTGCCTTTTCTGAAACCATATGTATCTCCCTGATATTTGGTGTTTTTATGCCGAAGAACTCTTATTAGTAGCACTAGCCACAGTCTTTGATCATGCCGAATAATGTTCCAGCTGCCTAGTTTATGTAAATGAAAGAATTGTTATTATTTGGCAAAGGTGAATTTAATCGTCATCACCTTTAGGAATTTTGAACTGTAATGAGATATGTCACCTACTTGAATTCAAAGGAAATTACATGCAATTGCATTCAGACGGAGAAATCCAAAATCCACTTACAAGTATTTTACGACCTATCAACAGATACATTTGCGTAATCAGTTTTAGGAATTGATTCTACACACAACAACAAAAGAAGGGAAGTTCACTCATTCACTAGTAACCATGCAGATGTTCTTTGTTCCAGTTTTTATATAGGATAATTTGGATGTGGGCGTACAGTTCTGTTTGCTTGAATTGAAGAAATTAAACGTGACGCGATTTTGATAATGAACAGTTTCCGTCGAAGAACGAGAGGTACTTCCCAAACGAAGACTTTCGTCTTGGACTGTGCCCAGCCAATAAATGTAATTGAGCTTATTTGCGCTGCACTGAAATAAAACTTTTCATCCAATATTCTTGTGTTCTACTCGATATGCTTACGGAGGGAGTACGGCATGCTAGACCTCTGCTCCACAGAATATGAACTTGTTACTTTACGTAGGCCTAATTCCGTACTAACTCCATCGATCAATATGCGTGATGACTTCTAAGGATATTGGCCGACCCTAAACATGTGCTTAAATTTACGCGATTACGTCTCTCAGCCATAGGTGAATCTGTAGGGACCAATGACAAAAATAACCTAACCCATGTACTTGAAATGCAAGAATAGGACTTAGGCACCGCGGCGGAGTCTGATTTCATAAAAGATTAAGTGTATTCAAAGGTACTACATTACTTTTATTTCAATTAAATCGTGATGTCAATCCACTTGATTACGGGTGTTAACGTATAATGCAATAGGCAGTATACATGGGACGAATAACTGGGTAGATGGAGCTGTAGCAATCGCAACACTATTTCGCTTATATCGAGTTAAGCTACCAGTACTTTCTCAGGTCTTACTGACAAGTCAAGCCTCCACCTCGCCATGATTACAAACTTATATTCACTCAAGTAGAATAAGAAAAGTATGGTAAGCAGGATGTGAGGTATATTTGATGAAAACTAATGGCAGGCGAATGCCTGTACACAACTGTTTGTCATAATTGTATCGGCGGTGTTAAACTGCCGTGACTAGGTTGACTGACGTTACCGGACTTCTGCGAATAGGTGAATGTGGCGTATTTTTTAATCGTTTGGGTTGGACTTATATGTCATTTTCGGTTGAAATTTCGCTTGGAAATTTTTTGTCAATAACTTTTGATAAAATTATGTTATGTGTTATCTGGATTGATGGGAATTCCCATTTCCTGGCTAGTCATGATAGTGTCCGCATCATGTGGTCTGACTGAGAAACACTCTTAGCATATTGGTTGCAATGATTAGTGTTTCAGGCGGACTGTGTCAAAATATCGCTATAATGAGCAAGATAGGATAGTTGGAGGGTAATGTCATCTACACAAATCGTTTACTCGATGTAGAAGTTGCACCTTTCGGCATAGTATAATTCAATGAGGACTTAACGTCTCAGGATATCAATGCAGCCTATTTTCGTGCGAAAAGTACTATTTGATGAAAGAATGCTATCAGTACATGAAAATCACCTATAAATGCTAACATAACCTTTTGTGGGGACAGAAGTTGTCATGTAGATGTGTCTTACACCGTATGTGTGTTTGGAAAGGAATTATCGTAAGTTGAAAAGTTATTTCTAAGCGGATTTACTATATATTTGCACTGATTGGTGCAGTGCCATATAGGTTATGTGGATTCAATGTATGAAAATATCTCAACTTGATTAATATTGTGCCTGGCTTGCTTCAAATAGAGAGTTGTTCGTGTGGTGGTGTAATGACTCTAAAAAGCTATACTAGGTCAACTGATGGTTTTGTACATCGTTGTGGAATATGCTGGAAGCGAGTGTGTATCAGAGGGTAATATTTCGTAGGAACTTTTTTTGCTAGGTCGCATCTCTCCCTAACCCGTATTTTGTACATTTGCAATTACTGAGTACTGAAACAGCCCGTGAGAGCCTCTGCTGCCGAGACGGAGAACAGCCTCGTCTCAACAGTTCAGTGGTACCAGCACTGCAGAGACATCGCTTCATGAAGAATGGACAGAATTACTTCGTTGTTAGGCGGGGACGACGTAGTAGTCCATGTGTATGAGACAGTGTTGGTGAAGAAGAAATATAACCGCGGTCGTCAAAGAGCGAACAATATTTGGGTCATAGGTTTACACGACACGTCCCTCCGAAAAGGATTTATTGAGGGACTAGCAGACAGGAAGGCGACTACTTTGGTACCTATTATAAAGCGACTCGTGAAACCGGGATCAATTCTACATACCGACGAGTGGAAAGGCTATGATTCATTTTCATCCCTGGGATACATTCGTCACATAGTGAACCACTCCAGTGATTTCGTGGACCCAGTTACAGGGACTCATACAAATTCCATTGAAGGATTTTGGCGTCGATTGAAAATAGAGTAAGGGCTATAAATGGACCTCAGAAGGATCTCATTTATAGTTATTTAGATGAACATATGTATAGAATGTGGTGTGACTTCTCTATTGACAGTGCCATGCTGAGTTGGGGAATGTTTCTCTCCCATGTTCGGGAAACATACCCACTGTAACCGTTTTATCATTTTTTATGCATTTTTCTATAAATATACGTTTCCGCTTATCATAAACGTCTCTTACGTGTGACTGGTCCGTTCAAGGTCGTTTGCTGATTGATTGTTATTGGTGTCGAAAGTTTAACTTTGCCGTTTAATCTGTCTTCCTTCCTTGGTAGCTGCGTTCCCTTGGCCGTCTTTTATAGGTTTCACTTGTGTTGATCTCTTCCCGGATAGAGAATTGGTTATCTGATATAGTGTCCTCAGGTCCCTTTTGCCTGCTGTCTTTTCAGCTTCAGTGGCCAGGTTGTCATATAATTGTCTTTTGTCCTTCCTGGCACTCTTCTTCACTTCTTTGTCCAGTGCTGTCTAACTTGAGCTCAGCGTCTGCTTCTCTTGTCTAACCTTGCATTTAATCATTTTCTCTTTCACCATTCTTCTCTCCTCTATTAGCTTCCAAGTGTCCGTTGAGAGCCATTCCTTGTCTTGTTTCTTCTTTCTTCCTAAAACCGTTGAACACGTTTCGTTGAAAATCACCTTCAGAGAGTTCTGATGGTCTTCCACGCATGATTCTTCCGTGATGTCACGTAATGTTTCTTGCTTTGCTCTTACAGTTGCAGTGAAAGTGTCCTTTGTGGTTGTGTCCTCCAGTTTTTGAGTGTTGAACTTGCATTGTGGCCTATCCCCAGGTAT